AATGGAAGACAAAACCCCTCTTTGGGCCATTTAGCCCATCACCAAAGCTCCTGAGCATTTGACATTTGCAAAACCTCATTAGGTAAGTGCTAACGTGTCCCTTCTGCTAGGCCTAGCACTTGTAAATGTACTGTGACGAGGGTGATGTGTTTATGAGAATGCACATGATAAATTATCAGAAAGCCACCTTTTGATGTCACTTAGTGCATCATTTGCCCTGCAGCAGACACCAGCTAACACAAACACTGAAGCTGACTGGCTCAGGCTAGCACTCAGGCCACAGTGTATGCAAAGATACAAAGAAGGCAGATGTCCCCAGAGTATCTGGCTCCCAATCTTCCTGATTTACCCTTCCTCATCCAGAATCTAAAGAAAAATGGGGCTTCACTTCATAGCCGGACCCCGCAGACTGCAGCATGGGGCTATTGCCGAGAAGGTGCTGGGCAAACATTTGTTGAAATGTGAGTCATGAATAAATGAATGGACAAGAACCCCAGAAGGCACCTCTCTACCAACTAGCGGAGTTGCTCTCCCAGTCTCTCCTTTGGGTTAAAAATTCCCATTAATACAACGAAGGTCCATCAACGCAGCCTGGCAAGGGTCCCTTCAATCAGAGAAAGAAGGACAAGCAGGGGTAGGGTGTGTAGGCCAGAACCAAAGATGTCCTTTCCTCCCAAGATACAAGTATACTAACTAGCTAGGGACATCTATCAAGGACATCCAGCCAACCCCTGAGTAGAGGCCACTTCCTCAAAAATGCATGCCACCTGGCTGGGCAGTGATGGCACATGCCTTTAATCCCACCATTTGGAAGGCAGAGGCAGGAGGTTCTCTGAGAGGTTGAGGCCAACCTGGTCTCCAGAGTGAGTTCCAAGGCAGCCAAGGCTACAGAGAAACCTGTCTTGAAAAATAAAAACAAAAGGCATGCCACCTGTAATCCCCGCACTAGAGAGGCAGAGGCAGAAAGATTAGAAGTCCAAGACTAGCCTCCAGTTCCAGGATATCCTGGGCTACATGAGACCCTGTTTCAAAAAAAAAAAAAAAGAAAAAGGAATGTATGTCACCTAGGAAAGGGAAAAGCATTCACTGTCCACTCTGGACCAAAAAAGAGGCAGAATTAAACTCTCCACTCTGACTTTGCTAAATCCTTCTAGAAATGGCCCATACCCCATATCTCCTGTCAAGCACTTACTTCCTCAGATGAGAACTGCTAAATACTGAGAGGTGCTGTCGGTGGCATGTGTGACATGTGTGAACTGGGGGTGCGGGGCACCTGCAGCTTGAACATCGTGGTATTAAACCATTAGCACCTCCTAACCCAGCAATTCTCAGCCTTTGCTGTGCATAAACATCACCTAGAGGAGCTTGTTTAGACATATCTGGCACTATACACATATCTGGGTCAGTGGCTGTGAGGTGGGACCTGGAATCTGCATTATTCATAGATATCCATCAAGGTGGGACAGACAGCCCAGACATCCTTTGTGGAGACTATGTCGCTGTTAGAGGGCCTTTGAGAGAATCTGTGGGAAAGCAGACTGTACTCGATGAACCTTGCCGGGAGCCAGTTCTGCTGTGGAGCTGCCCACCCCAGCCACATGATTGATTAGGCTTGGATACATCCAGCTGCTTAAAGATCCCCACCCTCCCATCCCCCACCAGCTGGTATTCAGCACTGTCAAGAACGTTCATTTTTCAACAGGTTTCCTGTCCATCCTCACCTGGTCTGGGCAACAGACAGAGCAGCTGACTGCATTCACCCAAAAGAGAAACTGAGGCAGGCACGTGGCACAGGATGATGTTTGCATCAGGGAGACACAGCAGGAGAGCCTAAAGCCAGGGAGTATGCTAGGCATCCTCTGCCCAGATCCCCTTTACTCCTCAGACTGAAACACCTCACATGAAATCAGACCTGGGGGAGGGGTGAAGGAGCTTTAATGGGATCTTTAACTGAGCTTTATCTCAGTCCTAACCCATGGTCTTTCCAGAAACTGGACCTCTCTCCTGATAACACCGCCTCAACACTTCCCCTCCTCGGTCCCCACCCCATGTCAGCCCAGCTCGCTGGTGCTAAAATTCAGTCTCAAAATGGATCTCCATTCTGCAAGCTGCCAGAGCCTGGCCCATTCCTCACGTGTCTTCAATGGGGATCTTAGGCTTCCCTGGCTCAATGCTTTGGGGACCCCTTTTCCACTTCTTCCAGGCTTTTCTCAAGACCTAGCTCCTGTGGGGCCAAGCACTGTGAGCGGCTCCTCCAGAAAGCCCCTTCTTCAAAAAGTGAAAAAGTCAGGGGGAACTGACCAGCCCCTCCTCCGCCCCAATCTCCCCAGGAGCCCACGGGTCAGACTTCCCTATGTCCAGTGCACTTGCGAGCCCCTCGCCCACCTGAAGCCTCACTGCAAGATGGCGCTCACCTTTCCTTGTTCCTCACTGAAGGAACTGTGGAGGCTGTTTGGCTGCTCTATTCTGATACCCATGTCACTACACAATCATTTCATGATGCAGCCACCTCTGGCATAGGGAAAGCCACAGTGTCCTTGTGGAAAGGACTAAGCCCCCTTAGTCATCCTAGAATGACAGCTCTGCCCAGACCAGGTGCCTCTGTCCCTCCTTAGACTCTCAAGAAGGCTGAGTAGGCTCTCCCAGCACCCAGACTGCTATGCCAGTTCACTGCCCTGAAACTCTGTCCCTACACCCCCAACCCCTCTCCATCTGGCTGTCCCCACCCAAGGAGCCTTGTGAGGATCCTGGAGTGCAGCCATTCCAGCTCTGTAGGGGTGAGGAAGGAGGAGGGGGGAAATGGAAACAAAAAAAGGCTGTGTTGTTTGAGGTCTTGCTGTATTGCCCTGACTGGTCTGGAAGTCACTGTGTAGACCAGGCTGCCCTTGAACATGTGGCAATCCTCCTGCTGAAATGAAAGGTCTTTGCCACTATACCCAGCCCTCAGTTAGGTCTTAATTGCAAATCTCAGCAGTAACCCTGAGCTATTCTCCTTGCCTGGACCTCAATTTCCTTAGGTGCAAAATGGAAACAAGAACCTCTGGCTCCACGCTGGATAGTAAAAGGATCAGTGAAATGATAACTGGGGCATGTGACATAGTAGGACATGTTCCAAAGACAGGTGGTCACTCAAACACAAAATCCAGGCCCAGAGGAGTAGGCTATAATCCAATACTCAAGAAGTTGAAGCAGACAATCAGAAGTTGAAGGTCAGCCTGGGCTAAGGTAATTCCAATGCTAGTACAAGCAACATAGTGAGACCTTGTCTCAAAATAAGAGCTATAAAGAGGACTAGGTACAAATTCAAAGCCAACCCCAGACAGAAAGAGTTCAAGACCTACTGGGCAACTTACGGAAACCCTTTCTCAAAATAAAAACTACCGAGGGCTGGGGGTGTATCTCAGTGGTAGAGTGTGCCTAGCATGTGTGAGATACTAGGTTCAATTCACAATACCACAGAAAAAGAAGAAGAAAAGAAAGAAAAATGAAAAGGTGGGGAAAAATGTAATACTCCATCATTTTTTTTTTTTTTTTTTACCAGTGAGTCTAGTCTCTTAAAGAGAGGAAGAAAACAAAGGCAGCCTTGTGAAGTCCCTCATACTAGTCATCTTCTGTACTAGGGTGGAGCGTCACCCCATTGCTGTGAAATTGGAATTAGTCCCATTTCACAGATGAGGAAACTGAGATTCAGGGGCTCAAATGACTTCACCAGAATGATGCACCTAAAAGCAATGAGGGAGGTCCTTTCCTCTCTTATCTCCGGTCCTCACCTTGTATAGGGTTCATAGAGCAGTGGTTCTCAACCTTCCTATACTGTGACCCTTTAATACAGTTCCTCATGTTGTGGTGACCCGCAGTTCATTACTACTTCGTAACTGTAATTTTGCTACTGTTATGAATTGTAATATGAACCTCTGTTTTCCAATGGTCTTAGGTGACATCTATAAAAGAGTCGTTGGACCCTCTCCCTCCGATGGGACACCACTCACAGGCTGAGAACCTCTGCAATAGAGCAACATAGCCAAAAATGATAAGCCTCCCCTAACACGTCAGTGAAAACCAGAGTAAACAGGATTCCATCCACACCAGGCCAGGGCTTACTGGAGAAGCACCTGTGTAAGCAGCAGCCTGTCCCAGCACAGCTGTTCCAGAAACCAACAGGGATTTGTTTTGTTGCCTGGCCAGGGGGCCAGTCATAGCCCCAGAGATGTCTACCCTGACCGGCTTCCCTCTCCCAATCCTGACCATGCCCTGGTCTAAGTCCTCACACAGCCTGTCCTTGTGGGTCTTTCAAACCACTCCGGGGCTGCATGAGAAGCCTGGCCCAAGTCACAGAAGCTCCTATTTGCGTGTGACCTGAGAGGAAGTGAGCAAAATGTCCCAGCAGTGACCTGGTACGACCTGGGGTGCACATATCATACATGTAAACAGCCTGTTCTATTTTCCTGGGAGGGTAATCCTGTGGGCTGCCCACCTGCCTCTGCACAGGAGGGGGATTTTGAGGAGTTCATGTCCACATCCCTAAATGGCTTCTATAGCTGCGGATTCTGTTAGTTGAGCACAGCACGGAAGACTGTCCTGGGCATCCTTGAGAACGTGTGTTTTTTGGGTGTATGTTCCTGCTGGGGAGGTGCACCGTGCCACAGCATCTGCCACCACTGCATGTGTCTGTAGCCTATAACTCCAATGGGTGACCATTTCCACGAGTGTCTGTAAGCATGTTTGTGTGTTTGCAATGCCCCGCACACCTGCACATGTCCCTCAAGAGTGGACGCGCCCCCTCCCACCCCCGCAACCACAGGTTGGCACACAGAAAGAATGCCACGCGGGTCCCGGCCTACGAGTGTGAGGGAAGAAGGCTGTGAGTGGCCCTGCGCGTCTCCCGCGTGTGTGTGCGCGCCGTGTGAGCGCGAGTGAGCGGTTGCTCTCCTGGCTGGCTCGCTCCCTCGCTCTCTGTGCCCGCCAGCCCGCTCGCCCGCGCGCGCAGCCCGCACACTCACCGCTTGGTTGCTGCCGGGTGACGCGGGCTGGGCCCGCCCCCTGCTGCCAGCCCCACACTCACTCTCACCAGCCGCCACCAAGCAGGCAGCAACCGCGTCAGGGCCGTCCGGGGGCCACTCTGGCGATGCCCGCAGCCCCCGTTGAGCCCCGCGGAACCCGCTGAGTTGCCCCCGGGCCAGGGTCACACCGGGCCGGGCCGGGCCGCGCGCGGCGGCGCTGCCTGCATGACCCTCCGGCGGCGCGGGGAGAAGGCGACCATCAGCATACAGGAGCATATGGCCATCGACGTGTGCCCCGGGCCCATCCGACCCATCAAACAGATCTCCGATTACTTCCCCCGCTTCCCGCGGGGCCTGCCCCCCACCGCTGCACCCCGCGCCCCCGCGCCCCCGGACGCCTCCGCGCGCCCACCCGCAGCCAGCGCCGGCCCCCGCAGCCCCTCCGACGGCGGCCGCGACGACGATGAGGATGTGGACCAGCTCTTCGGAGCCTACGGTGCCAGCCCGACCCCCAGCCCCGGCCCTGGCCCCAGCCCCTCGAGACCGCCCGCCAAGCCCCCTGAGGATGAGCCGGACGCCGACGGCTATGAGTCGGACGACTGCAGTAAGTTTCCCAGTCTCCTGCCGCGCGCCCCCTCCCCGCGCTGGGTCCCCGTAGGGCATGCGCCACGGCTGCCCAGCACACCCGCACGCGAGACCTGGGAAGTTTGGGGGCATCCTCTGGGGGCGCCCCGTTTCCGGGCCTCCGCTCCCCAGAGCGCGCCCCGCACCCCTACTCGGCCCGCGCGCCGGGAGCTCCAGCGCGGGCGGTGGCTTTTTGTTCCCGGGAAGGGCGGAGCTGCGCCCCGGGAAGACACCAGTTGCTGTGGGTCGCGCTGTGGCTCCCGGCCCCAGAGCCCTCTTGCGAGCCTCCCGGAGTGGCTACCGGGCGAGCTGGGGACCTTGTGGCGGCTAGGGCGGGCCCAGCGGCCCGCCGCCCGCCGCAGCTTTGCTCGTGCGCGGGCCGAGGAGCAGGACCGCGGGGCCGCTTGTCCTTTGGAAAAACCTTGGCGGTTCTTCCTCCCGTGTCCACAGACCCCACCGCGGCGCTGGCCCTGGCCGAGGACCTTTCCCCACCTGTTACGCGGCTTCCTCGGAGCAGGAGGGTCCCCAGCCCTCTCCTCCTGGGCTCAGCTCCAGGGAGACAGCCAATACCAGGGTCTCCTGAGCCAGGCCAAGAGCACTCCTGCTGTCTTGTGTGGTCCCTGAGAGTGCTTGGCCCGGTCCACCAAGGACCATCCGGGTAGCCAAGGAGGAAAGAGGTTGCAGCTGGAATCCAATGGAATTACTGAGGAGTGGGGTGGAGGTCGCTCCATGGAAGAGCCCCAGCCCAGCTGTGACTCCAAGCTGATTCACTTAGACCTGAGAGCCAGCCTCAAAACCTAGTCATGGGTGTTATGGCACTGTGTTGTGTGTGTGTGTGGGGGGGTTCCCCACACCAGCTTCCCCAAGGCAAAAGCAGCCCCTCCTCGGTGCAGCACTGGTGGTTTGTGCCTGGCCTGGCAGTTCTCGGGGCCTCTGAGTTAGGGCCTGGTTTCCCCAGCATTAACATGTGTCTCTGAAAGCTGAGGTTGGGAGTTCACAGTGCCAGCCTGGGAACAGACTCCTTTCACTCCAGGAAGCCCATCAACAGAAGTAGATCAAGCCTGGGCTGCAAACACTGCCTGAACCCCCAAACATAGAGGCTGGGGACCCTCACCCTCTGCTATTCTGCAGACTTCAGAAAGCTGGGAGGGCATAATTTATTAAAGTCTGCAGAACTGTGCCCTGGATGTACTCCCTTGCCCAGTTCCTGGAACTCTGTGTGATAGCCCCCTGGCTGACTGGCCTCTGGGGAGGTTCTAACTAGGACCTCAGTCAGCCCCCTGGGGGATCCAGGACCATCCTGGGAAGACGGATAGGAAGCAGTTCCCATTTCCAACCTGAGACGCCTGCAGCCAGGGAGTGAGCAGATGGGTGAAGCTTGTGCTTGTGCTGCGAGCCACACTCCAGGTGCCATAGAGGCCCAGGGGATAACATAGCCAAGAGGGGAGAAACCTAGTCATTTTGGCTATCTTGGAATCTACCAGAAAGAATAAAACAGGCCAGAAGCCCCATCTCCTGTTAGTCAACTCCACAGTGTTTTCACAATACTGTTTCAGCTGGGAGTGGTGCATTGGAACCCTGCTGAGTGTGTGGGCTCAGCCACAGGTGTCCTCGCTGGGGACAGGCTCACATAAGCTGGGTCCTAGATACAGCTTTCTCAGCTGATCCTGGGGACCGGCCACACCCAGACCTCTGACACACTTAAAGCATGCAAAGGAGGCCTGGAGGTTGCAGTGCTAAGGAAGTGGGTATGGGGTTGAGGCAGGAGGCTTGCATCTCAAGCTAAGAGCGTGAGAATTGTAGCTCTTGGTGAGGAAACACTGAGTAAGACCACCGTGTACCTGGTACCCAAGGCTGTGCACCCTTTGAGCTCTGACAACCAGATCCCTTAGAATAAGCCTAAGTGATTCAAGCCAGATGGTTCATTATGGCTTTAGCCAGGGTTATGCTATTTACTGCTCTAATTATTGGATTATCTGTTCGGACAGAAAGAAATGAGGGCGGTTGCTCTGTTGTCCAAGCAGAGGATTAAAACTGCCTGTTTACTTAGCCCTGTTCTCCTCTTTAAAAACCCTTCCTTTGCTGGTTACCTCAAAGCGTTTGAGCATGAATACACACACACACACACACACACACACACACACACACACACACACACACACACCAGCCTTCATTCCCTGCTGAGCTTAGAAAGCCAGTTTAGAGATGGCACCACTCTAGGCCTCTGCTCACGATGTCCCAAGCTACCTGCTTCCCATCTGAAGAGGGAACCCAGACCCCAAAGCTGCAGTGACTAAGAGGCTTTGGGTTTCAAGTACCATGAAATCAATTCAGAGAAGCTCTGCCCAGCAGTGCAGCAAAGGTCCTGCTGCAGACACTGAACAGCCCTCAGCAGCCCTAGTGACAAGGCGTCTGTCAGTCCTTCCACTCACTCAAACAGCTCTTTCCTCTTAGACTGAAAATCAGGGCAGATTCCCTATTCCCAAGGGCATATGGGTGAGGAACGTCAGATGTAAAACATGGTCACGGTGATATTCTTACTCTCCATCAGTTGAACAGGACCCTCATGATCCAAGGTGGCTGCTGTGAGTCCAGGCATCACATATAGCAATAAGGTCCTAGATTTGATTAAAAAAAAAATTTCTACTGTCATGTCTAGGATCCAGAAAAATCTCTCCTAGAAGTCCCCAGGAGACCTGTCCTTTTGTCTTATTGGCTAGAATTGCATCACGTGTCTGTGTTCCCAATTGACTCACTCAGCTAGGTCAGGATGGGTACCCACAGAGGTCTGGAGCAAGAGTGAAGTGGGGAACTATTGTTGGGTCTGCCGGGAAGGTTCTCCTGGGCATGGGCAGACCCAACAATAGTTACTGATTTATGTGGCCTCTTCCTTCACCCAGAACCTGTGGGCCTCAGTGGTGTTCTGGCCAGATGTCCATCATATTCTTTCACATTCAACAGTGCAATACCAATTGTGTGTCAGGCACCATATGGGGATCACAGAGGCCATGCATGAGCTGGACCACACACAGCCTCTGGTCTTGGGATGTTCACAGAAACCCAGCAAGAGGATCAGCAGTGAGGGATAGGGAGGCAAACATCCACAGAGGCTCTGAAGCTGGGGGAAGGGGAAAGAAGGCTAGCAGAGGGAAAGGGGGGTATTGGGGGAGCAACAAATGAACCAATGTGTAAAAAATGCAGACAAGGGAAGAGTGGTGAGGTCGAGTGAGTGTAAAGAAAAACTTACATGCCAAACCAAGGAGGTCAGATTTTGTCTTGGATGCAATGGACTTTTGAATGGCTTGAAGCAAGGGAATAGAGATGCCTGAAGTCTGAGCTCTGTCTCTAGGCTCTGTGAAATAGGCATGTATCACTTAGTCCTCTGCATCCTCCCGCATGGTGCCGACCAAGTGCAGTGCCTTTTCATCCCCTATGAAGTGCTTTCAAATCAGGCTCGATAGTTTTCTATGATTTCTTACCAATTAAAAGGCATTTTCTTGTATTTCTAATTGCACATGTGTGATGTGAATGGGTGCATGTTGCCACAGCACACACACAGAGGTCAGAGGACAACTTTGGGGAGCTGGGTCTTCTGCTTTTATGTGTATCTCGGGGATTGAGCTCAGGTCATCAGGCTTGCAAAAGCAAGCACCTTTACTCACTGAGCCATCCCACTGGCTCCAGGGAAACTATTTTAGAGGCTGATGTTTTTTTTCCCAACTGCAAAGCAAAAGGGACTGATTTCTGATTCCCAGGGGTGAATGGGCCAAGTGAGTTCAAGTGCAGACCAAGGCCATGGCCAGCTGCCTGTCTGCACAGGCCCTGCTGGGGAACACTCAGCCTCAGAGGAAGCAACAGGGGCCTGAGCTTGATTCTCTCTGAATTAGCCCCATTAAAGCACTATAATTATCAGCAAGCCGGTGACAAATCTCAGAGGCCCATTAGTGACCAACCTTCATTATTTTTCCAAAGATGTAAACTTTCATCAACACACGTGATCTGAGTGGCTCTGAGGGCAGGGCCCTCAGGATCCTGGGGCTCATAGAAAGGCACTCTCTCTTGTCCTTTGAGCCCTGCTAGTGCCTTCACTGTCACCCTCCTCAGGCCCTTCAGATTAGCAGTGAGTCCCTGCCCCATTGCTGAGGCAAGAACCCAGGGCCCTGTTCATGTGAGGTAAGGGCTATACTGCTGAGCCCTGCCCCCAGCCCCTTCCTTTTGCCCCCATAGCTAAAGCTTCAGGACTTAAATTACACAGAATGGTGGAAAACTTTCAGGAAGCCATTGGGCTTTTAAGGCAGACTCCCTAGTTTTGCTGGACTACCCACACATGGCCACCTCCCATCTCTAAGCCTCATCTCTTCAAAAGGAAAGGGTGAATTTTGGGTCATGTGTTCCCAAAGACAGCTCCTCCACTCATGCAGTTTCTCAAAATGATGACCGGGCTTCTAATGACAAGATAGAATTTCTTTTAGGACTTCAGTGGCATTAGACATTTATCAGTCCCTTCCTGGTCACATACTGGGTGCACTGTTCCTTCTCTGGTGGTGGTAACAGATGTTAGTGTCCAAAGAGGGCACATTCCCTGGGGTTTGGATACAGGCAGACATCACAGAGTGTGTGCTGTAGCATGGGGTATCATACCAAATCCTTCCTGCTAAGCAGTGACTGGACAGCAAAGCCATTTGAGTGGCTCCAGCATGAGCACTGACCATCTGCTGCTTGCTGGTCCCCTAGGTGCCTGAGGCAGTGTCCTCATGGTGAGATCATCAGGGAGCAGGTAGCCTGAACTGGACATCATGCAAACTGACTATCATGTGAAGCCATCAGCTCTGCAGAATGATGTTGCAGAAGCCCAGCGAGGTGACTGCAGTAAAGCAATGGTGCTTTGCAGCATCCCTACCCTCAGGATACTCACCTGCAACATCCTCACCCTCAGCCATCTTCATCCATGGTATCCTCACCCGCAGTATCCACACCCTCAGCATCTTCTCCTGAAGCATCTCATCCACAGTATCCTCTCCTGAAGCATCCTCACCCTCAAGAGACTCACCAGCAGCTTCCTCACCCTCAGTATCTTCACTCACAACATCTTTTCCACTGCATCCCAACCCTCAGCATCCTCAGTTCTGGTATCCTCATCTGTAGCATCCTCACCCACAGCATCCTCACTTGATCACCTGTTGGGAGAGAGGATGCTGCAGCAAAGGGGCCCAGTGTGGTCATCGCTAATGCATGCATTTTCTATTAGGGGAAGATACTTGCAACTCACTCCAGACTTAGGACCTCTTAGTCTGAACACAGTTCTAATTGTCTGGTTTACAAAAGAAAGAGATGTCTGTGCTACCAAAGGTAGGAGTAAAGGAAAGAGGCAGGAAAGTGAGGTTGCACCTAGGAGCCCTAGTGGAGCAATCACCTCACATCCTCTGTCTGGCCGTGACTGTGACCCACAGCAGAATCCTTGTAGTCAGAGCAATGACTCCACTTACGCAGAAAAGCGCAGAAAAGCGCAAGGGACCGCTTCTATACCGTGTTCCCAAAGGTAGGGAGCAGGTGATCCAGTTGAGGGCAGTCCCTTCCAGAAAATCCTTAGAGGGGCAAACTCAGACCTCTAAAAGTGTCATCAGAGTGTATCTGCTGTTCCTATAACCACCTGAAAGGCCCCACATGCCAAGAGGTAGTTATAGCTGTCTCCAGGTTGCAGATGAGGAAACTGAGGAAAGCTCTCTGAAGTCACACAGCAAGGACATGCTGAGCTGGGATTTGAACCTGTAGAGTTCACACTCACAACTGCACCATAGAAAGACAAGAACATCACCTTGTTGGGATGTAGGGAACCTGACACAGTTCCACATGTCTCTCAGAACAAAGAGAATAGCCCTTGATGTACCCACTTCCCTCCAGACACAAAGGCTATCATGATGTGGCCTGCCTTTGGTAGTAAAGGCAGGCATAGTTCAGATGCATGTTCACTTAGAATCCATCCAAGATCTGGTGCAGCATCCTGATGGGGACAAAGTCTCAGCCCAGCTCTTCCTTCATCCCAGCATCACTTCAGCCATCAACCCCCATCTGCCAGATACCTATGGTTATGATGTCCCCTCCAAGTCCCTATACTGCTGGCCAACTACTATCTGTCTGGGGTGCGGCATCACTTCCTCCAAGAAGCCTCCCCCACTGGCCCAATGAACACTGGGGCTCGGAGTCTCTTTTGAAGCTCTCATGGCTTTTGGCTCACCAGACAATATTGTGCCATGTTGAGCAGTTGAGAGCAAATCAGAGATTTGGAGCTATCTATCTAAGCATGCATATCTTGCTGTCTGGGGACTTCAAAGATTTCTCTCACTCAGACCCTGGCTTGGCTCTCTTGCTGGGAACCCTCGGGACATAGAAGGCCACAGCTGTAGCAAGTGACTGTTCCTAAGGTGGCAGCTGAACCCAATTACTGCTGCATTCTCTGCCTGGCCCTTGGGACTTACTGATGCTCTTGAGAGACTTGGGGGCAGCAGCATGAGGACCCGGCTGGCTTGTCACACTTAGGTCCTCAGGGCTGGGGAGACCAGGGAGCTGTGGTGTCAGTTGTTACCTGGGGCTCAATCAACAGTCAGCCACTCAGGCTGGTCAGGCCCTGCAGCCTCTTGGAGAAGCCTCTGCCTTCTCATGCCACTGTGTGTGGTTGCTTATGTGGGGGACCCAAGCCATCTGGTTCACAATAGCACCACCATGGGACAGGACAGACAGTGCAAAGTCGGGATTGAGAGCGCCTTTCTGAGCCACCTACCTGGTTGTGATCATGGGGCTTAGGTGGATCCACCCGGAATCCCTGAACCTCTTCATCTAACAGTGGCAGGGTGTTGTCCCTCTGAGGGTTTAGTGTTTCATTTGGGAGAGATAGATAAAGAGGTTGGCATATTGTAGCTGCTCTGTTGTCACAACCATTGAGCTGGATACAGTAACATTCTTTATTTGTTAACTTTCCTTGCTGGGAATTGAACCCAGAGCCTCTACTACTAAGCTAGATTTCCCCGGCCCAAAAGTTAGTGAGTGGCACACCCTACACCTTCACCTGTTACCTGGAAAGAACAGTTATGCTGGTAACACATGCAGACTTTCACTGTCTTTGGTAGAACTTGAAGTGCTTGTTTTATTTTGCAATGTCTAGGCCAGTGATCTACCCCTGAACCACACTCCTGTCTGCATCTTTGCTTTATCCCTGAGACGTGTGGATTGGCCTACTGAGGGTCAACTTGAACCTGTGCCTCTACAGATTCAACTGCCAATGGTTCTCAGTGCCATGGATTTGTCTGCTTCCTTAAACTCCACACGGAAGTCATCTGTGTAATTTAAAATGGCGTTAGTGCCATCTCTGTGTGGTTCCAATAAGCCTTGCTATAACCGTATTTTTCTTGCTTTAACTAATTCCAGCCATTTAGAATCAAAAATGATTTTGCCTTTTAGTTTGTGCAGCAGCCTGAAGACAGACGCTGGAGACAGCTGGTGTCCGTGGGGCCAGAGACTGTCGTGTTGGGGTTTGTGTCAGGGAGTGTCACCTGTGTGCCACGTGAGCGCGCTGGGAAACCAGCGCCTCCACAGACTCATGTTCACCCCTTCTTTTTTTAATTGTGTATTTGCTTATATTTATTTTATTCATGTGGTTATTATGTCTGCGTGTACGTCTGTGCATCAGTGTGACCCTGGTGCACACGGAAGACGGAAGTGAGAGTCGGGCCCTGGAACTGGAGTTCTGTATGGCTGTGAGCCACTGCGTGGCTGCTGGGAAAAGACCCTGGACCCTCTGGAAGAACACCCAGTGCTCTTAGCCATTGAGCTGCCTCTCACGCCCTCATGTTCACATATTCTGAGGACTGTGATAGACATATTTACCTTATGGTTCTTCTTCCAAATAAATTGTATTTATTTATATGTTTATTTTTGAGACAGGATCTCACTTTGTAGCTCTGGCTAACCTGAAAGTTGGCTTCAAATTCAAAGGGATCTACCCTCCTCTGCCTCCCAAGTGTTGGGACTAAAAGCAGACACCACCAAATAAATCTTTTAATCTTGAAAAACAGTGTGACTGTTGGGCCAGCGAGATGATTCGGCTGCCTACTCCGATGACCTAAGTTAAAGCTCCATACCCCACACGGTGGAAGAAAAAAACTGACTCTTGCAAGTTGTCCTCTGGCCCCCACATGCATACCCTGGCATGTGTATGTGCACACACATGCACAAATAAACACACATAAAGTAATAATAGTGAAGCTATTGAAGCCACAAAGGGGAGGTGTTGCCCCTCCCCTCCAGCTGGTGTCTGACTCACATCTCCTTCTCCCATAGCTGCCCTGGGTACGCTGGACTTCAGTCTGCTCTATGACCAGGAGAACAACGCACTGCACTGCACCATCAGCAAGGCCAAGGTAGGCCCTGCACCAGCCTAGCTCCAGCCTTGGGAAGGGGGCAGAGTCCCGTCTATCCTTGCTGTTCAAGTTTCCTGGTGTCCTTGCTATGTGGGATAAGCAGCCCACTTCCCAGACTGACCCTGTCCAGTAAAGCATTTGGGGAAAGGAGTTTCAGAAAGGACAGGGTAGGAATTGCAGAGAGCCAGGCAGCTTTTAGAGCCTGGGAGGGGTCACTGAAGAAGGGGGAAGGTAGAGGGCCTATCTTGCAGTGGGAGGGATGGGATTGATTGGATACTACCATCTCTGGATCCCCCCCCCACACTCCAAAGTTCCAGCCCGTAGGCTCCCTGAAGCCACTAAGCAGCTACAATGCCGAAAGCACAGGTGCCTCTGAAGGAAGCTAGGCTCCAGGCAGGGTGGGAGCCATTGGGCCTGAGCATCAGAGCCTTGCTGAGTGAGGGGAGTCATGGACATCTGCAGACCCAGTGTGACCTGGTCAGGTCCTATCCCCTACTCTCCTCTGTGGATCTGCTCTTGAACCTGTGTCTGTTCATTCCATGTTCTCAACCTCATTGTTCCCTTCACTCTGCTCCCTCTGGGAGGAAGGTGCCAAAGTTGATGTTTTCCAGAAAGGTAAGGGTCCATGTGGCCAGTAGAGACCCTAGTAGGGCTGTGGAGGGGCCTGAGCCAGCCCAGCACACATGGAGTAGTTTCCAAATGCTGCCAGGCCTAGACCTCACCCAGCATCCCTGACCTGCAGCATCTTTCTGTGCTTCTTTCCAACCCACCCAACCACGGAGGGGCTGCCCTTGGCTCTGTGCCTGCCTAGAGGGACAACCCACACCATACCCCTACTCAGCCCGGGTCACTCATGTGGACAGGCATGGGCAAGGGTGGGAACTGTCTACACTGGGCTTGCAGACCAGGTTGGGAACTTGAAGGCCCAGTCACCAGTCACTTGACCCTATGTCTCTGCCCACTCCACTGGCACCTTTAGGCTGTGATAGCCTAGACAACAGAGAGGACCTCCTGGTGACTCTAGCCTGGAAAGGTGAGACAGGCTGCAGGCCCAGGCAGAGTGCCTCCCCCTCCCCTTGCTTTAGCAGAGCTTGTCCTTGCTTGGGGACCAACGTCAAACCACTCTAGTGGAGCTCAGCTTTTCCTCCCCACCTCAAATCCTGGGGTTGCTGCTACTTTCTCCCTGCTCCAGGTGTGTGTGTGTGTGTGTGTGTGCGTGCGTGCCTGCCTGCCTGCCTGCCTGCCTGCCTGTCTGTCTGTGTGCGCAGATTTACATGGGTACTGGTGTATGCAGAGGTGGGGACCAGAGTCCTCTGAACCATGGCTGGCCCTGTTCTTCTCTGTAAATGTCTACAAAAAAAGGGGGGACAGGCCTGGGAAATACTGGGGCCCGAAAGGGGATCCATACAGTGTAAGCTGAAGCGGGGCTCACACACAGAGCCTCTTGGCGCTTCTATGGAATATGGACTCCCAAGCTTCACCCTTACTTGGTGTCTTAACTAATTTTCTGTTGCTCTGATAAAACACTGACCAAAAGCAACCTGGGAAGGGAAAGGTTTATTTCACCTTCCTGCTTGTAGTTTATCATCCAGAGAAGCTGGAGCAGGTACCCGGCCGCAGGAGCTGACGCACAGGCTATGGAGGGGTACTGCTAACTGGCTTGCTCAGCCTGCTTGCTGTTTTTTTTTTTTTTTTTTTTTGTCTTTTGAGATAGAGTTTCTCTATGTAGCATTGTAGACCAGCCTGGCCTTGAACTCACAGAGATCCACCTGCCCCTGCCTTCCTAGTGCTGTGACTAAAAGCATGTGCCACCACTGCCTAGCAGCAGTGTTACTTCTTAATTGTGATAACATATCAGACATGTGAAACTTAGCAGCGGAATGCTGAGGCCACTCAAATGGCTGTGTTACATCACCACTGTCCACCCCACAGCCTTTTCAGGTTGCCAAACTGAAACTCCTTGCCCATAGAGCAGCTGCCTGTGTCCCCTCGCCTCTCCTTGCCTGGCCCAAGCTGCCCCTCCTCACCGTCTCCAGGGACCTTGTAGATATAAAGTCATGCAGTTTCTGTCCCTGTGCACCAGGCCATCTCACTAGCTGGTGTCTGTCCCTCTTCTTCAGGCTGAGCACTGAGAGCCTCAGCTTTGACTATCCAGAAGGTTCTAGTCCCAAATGCCTAAAGAACAGTAACCCCTGGACAGTGCAGAGACGACAGGAACTTGGTTTGAAGGGAGTCTGTTGTACTTCCTGAACCCAGTGCTAGTAGGACCATCCCATACAGCCCCTCCTTGCCCCTCTCTGAGACAGTAGCATCTGTTTTTATCTCTTGCAAACACAATAAGCTGACGGGCTCTTTCCTACCTCTGGCTGAACTCAGCCTCCTGCCCTCTCTCCTGGATTCAGTCAGCTCCTGGGAGACCTTGCCATGCTGCAGGGCAGACCCCAGGCTCAAGGCCAGTAAGGATGCTTGAGCTAGGGAGTGCCCAGTGGCTGCATCTATCCACAGGTGGACCTAGGGCACTCACCTCCAAGCAGTGCCCAGCAAAACACAAAGAGCCACAGCCTTTGGAATAGCCACTCAGCCTCTGGCTGAGCCCACCAGCCCTTGCTTCTAGTCCAGTGTGTGGCCCTCTGGTATGTTCAAGGACCTGCCAGGTAGAAGGGTGTGGATGTAACAGCAAGGACCAAAGGGCAGAGTGGGCATCATTGCCCTCCTAGCATGGCAGCTGCCCCCTGTCATAGCCAGCCCTTATGGGTACCCCAGGGCCTTAGAAATGAATCTCACAATATCTCTGGCTAATCTCCTGGGTCAAAGGGAAAAGAAAACAGTGGAAACATTGTAAACATGGCAGTTATGCAGGAACTGTAGAAATAAAACAGGAGCCCTCGACTATCCCCACTCAGGCTGGGTCACCAGATTCCCCCAGGACACATGCTTCTTGCTCCATGGGGTGAGGAGCTAGCAGGGGAAAGCTAGCTGGGTGTGAAAGGCCACCCTGACCAAAGCACATCACTGCCTCCAGGTCAAGCCCCAGTAGGTCTGGGCCTGGCTTAAAACCTACCCTTACCCCAGGTACTTCTCTGATGGGGGGTTGGGGAGGGAAGTTGCAGCCCTAACCCTGCATCTGCATTCCTCCTTGCTCTGTTGCACACAGACTGCATTGGTTAACTCTTTGCCTGTGATAAAGCTGAGACAGTGAAGTGTCTGGTGCACAAACTAGGAAGTGCATGGGCTATGCCAACTCCCAAACCTGGGCCTGGGGCCACAGCACAACAGAAACAATGGGTGGCCCCACCTGGAAGCTCCTCCAGGCCCATAGAACTCCTCGTGGGAGAAAGGTCTAGGGCACCTGGCCAGAAGCGGAGCCATCCCTGGCTAACCCATCTGGAATGTAGGCCATGTACACCTCTGCTGCCTCCCCAGCCCCTGTGGGCCTTCACCACTGAAAAGAGCAAACACAATTCCCAGGTTAGCTGAGGCCCTTATGGGTCCCCCTCCCCTGAGTTGTACAGTCCTGGGCTGGCAACTGAAATCGTTAGCAAGGGTTGCCATCTTGTGGAAGGACCCTCCATGGCAGGCAGCCTGTGACTTCCAGGGACGTGAACTAGCAAATGCAGAGGGAAATGGCAGTCTCACCTGGCCTCCCAGACTTGGAGCAAAGTGCTCTCCCAGCTGCTACAAGGAGCATGAAGATGAGTATATAGCCAAATCATAAAAGGAAGACACGACAAGAGGGTGGTGTCCAGAAAGTGGGAAGAGACCAGCCTCCCCAAGTTTAGAGTGAGGTGTGTTCTCTGGGTTCAGTTGTCAAGAAGGTAGAAAGTGAAAGGGCCTGGGCACGAAGTGTGGGGGAGGGAAGCTCACTGCAGCTCTGCTTGGTCCCTGAGAACCTCCCATCTTCAGGGAGATTGGAGACTCAGGCCGGAGGCCCCGTCAGCAGACCCTTTGTGTCCTTGCTCTCATCTCTTCTGGTCTCTGCTCAGGGCCTGAAGCCGATGGACCACAATGGACTGGCTGATCCCTACGTCAAACTACACCTGCTGCCTGGAGCCAGCAAGGTGAGGATTTCTGCCCCAAACATGACACTGACTTGGCACTCATGGCCTCCCTGGGACCTCATGAGTCCATTACCTATCTGCTACATGGGCCCCACAGAATGTCCAGGTTACATTTCATATGAAGCCAGTTTGGGGGGGGGGAATCTCTATGGGGTCAGGTGTAATTGTGCACACCTGTAATTACAACACTCGGGAGGCAGAGGCAGTCAGATGCCCGTGAGTCAGACTGTTCTACATACATAGTGAAATCCAGGCCAGCCAGGGGTACATAACATCTGCCTAAAAAGGAAATACTGTTAAACAGGTTTCTTGGTGGCAGGATCTGTCAGAGACTTCTATGTACTGATGGGCCATTCTGTAGCTTCATAAAGGGGACTGAGTGGGTAGCATTAGTCTGGTTTATTTGATCATAGAACCCTTCCTGCTCCCCTACCAGGAGGCCCAGCAAGCAGATGGAAATGCACAGGCAATATTCCACCCACAAGGTTTCCACTAGGAAAGCATGGATCCCAGGCAGAATGAACAGCCTGAGTAAAGGGGACATCTGGTGATCCAGGAAAGTGGTCCAGTTGTACCACTGGCTTTGGGACATGATCAGTCTTGATATCGAACTCTTCTTATAATGGGGGGCAACTTTGGTTAAGCTGACTCCTATTAAGTTGGATACTTCAGCTTCCAAATGGGAATGAGGCAACTTCCCATCCCATGTAGAACCACCCCATAGCCATCACCTCTGTGGCAACCAGGGCCTGGGGTCAGGATGCTCCTCACATTAGCTTTCTGTGGTTGCCTCAACAAATTCAGCTTAGCCATTTAAACACACCATCACCTCCCTGTTCCATTAAGACTGGTTGCACTGGCTGGACCAGAAGTCAAGATGCCAGCCTGTCCATTCTGGGGACAGTCATTTTCTTTCCTTTTTAAGCTAGAGGCTTCCTGCTTCTCCAGCTGAGCCCCTGACCTGCCTGAAGTTGGCTGAGCTCCCAGCTGTGCTGGTCCTGTCTCTCTTGGCTGTCTTTTGTTGCCAAAGACTTCTGCTACTCTAGGGCCACTCACATGCCTCCAATAAGCTTGCTGTTTTTCTATTAGCTAATTAACACTGCCAGTTTCACTTTCTCCACTGGCTCAGATAGTGTCTCCATGGTAGAGGGAGCAGGCTGGCGAGCTTTTCAGCCACACTCATTCAGGACCAATAAGATAACTCTCTTTTTCTAGGCAAATAAGCTCAGAACAAAAACTCTGAGGAACACTCTGAACCCCACATGGAACGAGACCCTCACTTATTACGGGATCACAGACGAGGACATGATCCGAAAGACCCTGAGGTGGGTGAGGGCCCCCGTGCCTACACCCCACCCGGGGACACCCTACCACTTATGAATTCCCACTGACTGTGGAAGCCAATCGCCCCCAGGATCTCCGTGTGTGATGAGGACAAGTTCCGCCACAATGAGTTCATCGGTGAGACTCGAGTGCCCCTGAAGAAGCTAAAGCCCAACCATACCAAGACGTTCAGCATCTGCCTGGAGAAACAGCTGCCGGTGAGTGGAGAAAGGTTCGGGCGCCCCAGCCAAATGAGTTTACTGAGCATATACTATGTGCTGATGCTGTGTTCTAGGCACCATTGCAGTGACATAAAAGGGACTTCCTGCCTGTTGATGGTACAGGAGCAGAGCTAATTTGTGGAGCAAACAGCACAGTAGAGGGGGCAAGCCTGGGGGGGGGGTCACAGAAGTGGCAGGGAATCATTTCACCTTCCATAGAGGTTGCTAAGCCAAGGTAACAATTCCAATAGTGCTGGGGTTAAGTCTAAGACCTTGTATGTGTAAGCACTCTTCCACACTGAGTTATATCCTCAGCCCTTTTAAGTTTTACTTTTACAAATTGCGCACAGTGAATAGGCCTGTCATCAACACGGTGTGTCTTCCTCAATTGCTCTCCATCTCATTCTTCAAGCAGGGTCTCCCACTAACTGGCCTCCCCAGTGATAGGGTTACAGATTTGTTCCATCATGCAGAGCTTTCCAGTGATGCTGGGGATCCAAACTTACACTTGACTGACTGAGCCATCTCCCCACCCATTTTTAATTTTCATAGGAAAGAATCTTGGTAAGTTCCCCAGACTGGCCTTGAACTTGCTCTGTAGCAGTGAACTTCTGATCCTCCTGTCTCAGCTTTCCCAGTAACTAAGAGTACAGGCTTATGTCACAAGGCAGGGCATGATGGTGGCTTAACAGGCTCCCTGTCTGCTGGGCTCAGAAGAGCCAGAAGCAGAGAGAGAAGGAAGGTGAATGCTGGAGCTAAGAACCAGATAGGAATGGGGGCAGGATGGGGACAAAGGCCCCCTGCAGGGCAGCTCCAGGTCTGGGGCCTGGGTGTACAGATGGAAGAGGGAGCCATTTACTAGGTGCAACTCAATTGGAACATGTTAGGTGAGTGCCATGGGATTCCCAGAGGAGACAGTGCATAATTCTTTCCTAGACATTGTAATTGTTCGGCATGATGTCAGCACAAATTTGGCCCCAATTACCTTCAGCAGCTGAGCCCTCCCGGAGTCTTGGTGTCTGCTTTTCTCCAACCCCTCCTGTGCCCACCTGCTCTCCACACCCCTCCTTTATCTGGCTTATAGGGGCTGAGGGGCAGAGTCTAGGGGAGCCCCAGTGATCAGGGCCAAGAGATAGGCTAAGCGCTCCACCACCTAATGCTCAGGACGTGACTGTCTCCGCAAACCCTGAGCCAAGGAAACAGTGAGGAGAAAGCGTAGCTTTACCCCGTACACCAGGCTTGGCAGGGGCTGGAGCCTGGGACATGCACACTCAGCAAGCTAGGCCCAGGCCCAGCCCTAGGACTCCACCCTGTCCCTGAGACACTGCCTCTGTGCCAGCCTTTCTCAGATTGTATTCTCATGGCATTCTCTTCACTCAGCTGCACGTTTGGTGGTAGAATATTTGCTGATATGACGTATGAGTCACTTGCCAGGGCTAACACAAATTTTCCAAATGGCCCGTCCCCCCCAGGAAGGCGCTGCCAGCTCCATGAATTCTGACTTCAGACATAAACTAGACTGGAAGGGCATGGTGGCACACACCTTTAGTCCCAGCACTACAGCGGCACAGGCAAGTGGATCTGAGTTCAAGGCCAGCCTGGTCTACTGAGTGAGTTTCAGGACAGCCAGGGCTACACAGAGAAACCTTGTCTTGAAAAACAAACAAACAAAAACAAAAAAACTCAAGACTTTCTGTGCACATGAATTCATGAATGAGTAGGGAGTGTATATACACATATGCACTCTGTTTAAATGTGTGTACATGTGTGTGAATTTGGATGCATGTGTGTTGTGAGTATTCCTGAGACATACTTCGGCCATTGCTAAGCCTCCCTTGAATTTACTATGTTGCTCATTGGCCAGCTTGAAGATACGTAGTGACCACCGGGGTGACATTTTGGATAACCACTCTGTGCAAGGACACATTTTGGTGGTTTTAGATTTTATATGCTACATTACTTGTTCTAACTAAATACCTGGTTGAGTGGTGGTCAAATGAAACAGTCTAAAGTATGATCATGTCATCTGCCTTTGGAAATATCCCTGCTCATATATACTTCATGTAGAGCCCAGAATCACACACCAGCACTATTGTCTGAGCATTGGGTTGAGAAGGATGACAAAGCTGTATTTGAATTCAGGGTGAGTGCTGGGATCAATTAGTCACAGGCATCCCTTTCTCACCTCACAGGACTCTCATTTCCAGGAAGGTGTGGACCTGGCCACATGGGGACACGGTCAGTCCCAAGCAGAGCACAGCTGTAGGCAAAGGCTGAGCCTATAAAAGAAGAGCCTGGCAGATCCTGAGGAGGGAGCCTCAGGGAACATGGGACTCTAACTGTGCATGTGTGGATGACTTTAGGGCATGATGGGAAATGGAGAAGACTCCAGCTGTCAAGACATGGAGGAGTGGGATGTGGAGGCCTAGAGCTAAAGTCTCACCCTAAGGGAGGGACTGGGCATCTCCCAAGGGGCCCAGCTCAGAAGATAGCAAAGCTCTGTCTTTTAGTCCATTGGCGGTGGGGGGGGCACCCTGCAAAATTTCTGGGAGTGGGTAAACTGATCAAAGACACAGAGGAGGGCACCAGCTCAGAGCTAAAGTCCACAGAGAAGGCTTGAGTGTGACGAAGGCAGAGCAGGCTGGGGGACAGACTCCCTACCCAGGTGGTAAATACATCAGGCCCTGCAGACCAGGCCATCTCTGCCACTCACTTCTACTGCAGGCAAAAACAGCTTCGGGAGAGATGTAAAATGGAGGGGCCAGGCTGTGTTCCAGAAAAATTTTACTTAAGGACATAGAAGTTGCCTGTCTGTCTCTGTTTCCTCCTCTTGCCCACTTCTTCCTTCCCTTCCTTCCTTCCTTCCTTCTTCCCTTCCCTTCCTTCCTTCCTCCCTCCTCCCTCCCTTCCTTCCCTTCCTCCCTAAGCTGGAGATGGACCCAAGGACCTCCCTTGTGCTAGGCAGGTGCTGTATCACTGAGCTGCACTCCCAGGCCCTGGGTTCCATAGATCTCTATGTCCAAGCCTAGCTGGGTATCAGCAAGTAGACACTAGGGGGGTGGACAGCCTCACTGCTTCCAAGAAGGTAGAAGAAGACAAGGACAGCAGAGTAACCACCCTCTCCTACAGGTGGACAAGGCAGAAGACAAGTCCCTGGAGGAGCGAGGACGCATCCTCATCTCACTCAAGTACAGCTCCCAGAAGCAGGGCCTGCTGGTGGGCATTGTACGCTGTGCACACCTGGCCGCTATGGATGCTAATGGCTACTCGGACCCCTATGTGAAAACGTGAGTGTGCACCCAGGCCTGTGCCTGCTCACCAGAAAGAACTAGAGTCCTACATGGCTGGAGCTGAAGCCCAGCAGGACAAGCACAGAGAGGGCTGCCTCAGAGCACTGGAGCTTTGTTCATCAGGGTGTTTTCTTCTGTGTGCCTTTTGTGACTCTAGAGTTAATGGCAACCATCCCATTTCATAGGTAGGGAAACAACCTTGCAGAAGGATCACCCACCGGGAGAATAGTCATCTCTTTTTAGTGACAGGGAACATGGTCACATGTATTCCAGATTGCCTTTGAATTTACTGTGTAGCCAAGAATGACCTTGAACTATAGATCCTGCTGCCCCTACCTCTTGACCACCACAGTTGAAGATGTGAACCACCACACATGAATATGGGTACTAGAGATCAAACCTGGGACCTAGGGATGCAAGGCCACTAGTGATCCAGGCTCACAAGCAAGGAGGAGGAGTCAGGGCCAGTGCCAGGAGACTAGGGGAGCTGGCAAGAGACCTTTGTTCAGTCTTCCTGTGTGTGCACAGCCATGTGTACCCTCCCTACCACTGACAGTACTGGCAGACACTGGCTAGGGTTCGTACCAGTGGTCTGGACCCTGCAAGAGTAGACCTGGCTGGGTTAAGCTGCACTCAGAGATCCAGGAGGCAGGCAGAAGCAGGTGGCCTTTGGGAGAGGAAGGGGACAGGTACCACAGAACCACCTTCAATGCTTGCAGCTCTGCACAAATGGTGTGCCATCTGAGGTCATGGGGACACTCTCCAGAGAGAAGCCTTGGGGAAGAATTTAGCTTGACACATTATGGCTTCCTGTAACTTCAGTTCCAGGGGCTCTGATGCCATCTTCTGGTCTCAGAGAGTACTGGGTATTTACATGGTACACATACATACATGCAGGTGCTCACAGTCATATAAAATGTAAAAATGTAAAAATCTAAAAACACAGCTTTCTTCTGAGCATGTGCAGACTTTTTCTTGTCATTGTTCCCTAAGCAACAGGATAAAAGCATGCAGCATTTCAGTGGCTTAGGTATTACACATGACCTAGTGACAACTCAGAAGTCTACGGCAGGCTGTGGCAGGGCCTGTGCAGATGCCAGCTCATTTAATGTAAGGACTTGGGCATCTACAGTTGTGCCCTGGAGTCCTTCTCCCACAGACGCTGAGGGCCACGGCACTTCCTAAACCATGCAGGGCATTCCTGAGTGGAAACAGGGAGGCGTGGAGCAGCAGGATTAGAAGGTCAGCTGGTTTGTCACCTCTACCTGTCACACTTCATTTCTCTTCAGACAGAAATGAGATGCAGAACCAACATGGCGTGAACGTTCTAAATCATGTTCAGTGTCAATCTGCTGGGTAAACTCCCAAGTCCAGGTGGTGTGAGGGTGACCCAGAATCCGGGGTCTCCTTTTGTGCTGACTTGGGCAGGCACACTGACTGAAGCCCTAGCAGGATGCTTTCACAGCTCCGGGCTCCTCCCTGCCGCTGGGACCTCGTCGGTACTTGTTACCTATCTCTGAGTAATGATGAGCAAAGGCTGGAGGGGGTCAGTACAGGTGAAATTTCTTCCTTTCTTTTCTTTGGGGGTCAGGAATACCCCAGGCAGGCCATGAACCTGTAATCTTCCTGCCTCAGCCTTCCGAGAACTGGAACTCCAGGCGTGCACCACCAAATCCAACCCTCAGTTGGTTGAATCTGAAAGTCTAGGACCAGCGGGTACAGAAAGCCAGCTATTTTGCTCTTAACACATAAGTTTCTTAGCTCCGGGCATCTGTCTGGCCTGTTGCCTGTCTATCCCAGTAGCTTCGCTTCTCTCAGATTTAAATGAAACATCAGATGGATTCTGCAATGAGTGATTTGTCCAAGGTTTATCCACATAAGTGTTTACACTGGAGACTCCATCTTTGATACGGCTGCATAGCTTTCATCATGTATGTAAAGCATGAGTTCGTTGTTCATCAGTTTGTCATTTAAAGGGCATGTAGGTTGTTTCAGTTTTGGATGACTGTGTGTAAAGCTGCCATTAACATATAATTTGTAAGCTGGACAAGGCTGTGCACACATGAAATCCTAACACTTGGGTGGTAGAGGCAAAGGGTAGGGAGTTTTTTGTTGTTTGTTTGTTTGTTTTTTAGACAGGGTTTCCCGTATCGTTTTTGAGTCTGTCCTGGGACTAGCTCTGTAGACCAGGCTGGCCTCAAACTCAAAGATCCACCTGCCTCTGCCTCCTGAGTGCTGGGATTAAAGGCATGTGCCACCAATGCCCGGCTAAAGGGTAGGGAGTTTAAGGCCAGCCTGGGCTACACTGAGTACCAAGGAAACCAGACTATATGACAAGACTAACTATGGCACAAATTACAAACCCAGAAGTGTTTATCATTATACACCTCCATTTCTCTCCCTTACCACCAATCTTAGTTAACATGCACTCTGTAATCTTTGTTTTAACAAGTCAGTATTGTATATCAAACAGAACTCAAATTGAAGCTGGAGGCCCAAGGATCAGGAGTTGAGAGTCATCCTAACCATCCTAGGAGACTAAAAAAATGTTCATGCATGTGGAGGTTAGAGGACAACTTATAAGAGTCCTTTCTCTCCTTCCACTATGTGTGCTCAGCACACATAGTGTGCAGAGATCAGCAGAGTACTCACACTCACACAGGCAAGCTTGGGCAGCAAGTGTGAATCCCCTAGCTACAGACAGGCTTTTCTGTCCCACCAGCCAGCTCCCAAATAACCACACAAAGACTGTTTATTAATTATTAATGTTCAGCCATTAGCTGAGGCTTATTTCAAACTAGCTCTTATCACTTAACCCATTTCTATTTACTTGCTGCCACGTGGCTCACGGCTTGTTACCTCATCTTATGCACGTCCTGCTTCCTCTGTGTCTGGCTGGTTACTCTGCCCTTCTATTTATACATTGTCATTTGTAACAGGGTTTCTCTGGCCTCACAGAGATCTGCCTGTCTCTGCCTCCTGAGTGCTGGGGTTAAAGGCGTGCACCACTGCCCAGCTGACTCTGCCCTTCTTCATCCCATTCTCTCTGTCTGCAAGTCCCGCCTAACCTCTTTCTGCCTAGCTATTGACCATTTAGCTCTTTATTAAACTAATGAGAGCAACACATCTTCACAACATAAAAAAAAAGATTGTTCTATAACACCCAGGCCTCCAGTAAGGATTTTTAAACAATAGCCCTCAGCTTTTCCAAGGCCAACATTTGGCAAAAACCAGGCAAGAGGCTTGACCCTTGTCAGCATGCGTTTGTACATGTTAACCTTCTAGGAAACCAGTCATTTACTGTGTTGAGGTTCCCAATGCCATCCACTGAGCAGAACACACTTAGCAGAGATGAGGCATTTGTCACACAGTTGTCTGTGCAGGGACAGGGTGGGAGATTCTACAAAGAGAGTTCAGAGGCCTCCTGCATCCCCAGCCTATGAAGGACGTCCCTGTCATGGAGAAAGGAGATTGAGCCTGGCTTCCAAGCAGCATTTGTGCCAGCCATGTGACCTTGGGCAAGTCACTCCACCTCTCTGGGTCTATGGTGGATTAAAACTAAGGATAGGACAGGCAGTGGTGGTGCACACCTTTAGTCACAGCTCCTGGAGGCAGAGGCGGGTGGATCTCTGAGTTCAAGGATAGGCTGGTCTACAGAGCAAGATCCAGGACAGCCACAGGTACATTAAGAAACCCTGTCTTGGGTGGGGGGCAGTGGGGGAGCCTAGGGAAGGAAGGGCATCAGCTCTGCCACCTCTGAAGGCAAAACTGCCAAACGAGAACCTTTCAAAGGCTCCAACAAAGGAGTGATGCTTGCTCAGCTCATGGGATATGCTGGAAAACCGAGTCTTACGCCTGAGAAGAGTGGAGTTTATGGTGTGTGAATTCTTAATAAATCTGGGGGGGGTGCATATTTAAGCTCTTGGCTCTTGGTGCTGGAGCTAAGAACAGTTTGTAGAGCATTTGTCTTATATGCATGAGATCTTGGGTTCAGTGTCAAGCGCTGGAATGTCCCCATCCTCCCCATCCCACCTCTCGCTAAAACAAAACAAAAATGACAATTCCTGACCAAGGGACAAACTCTGTTTTACAAAATTGGCTTTCCTGTGGAAGGTGCAAGCTTTGCAAAGATCAGATTTCCAGAGAAAAGATAACACCCTCTTCTGGGGACTAGTTGGTGCTTGAGTAACTAGGCAGCCACCTCAGTGTTGCCCACAGGTGGGCAGACTGGGGACTCCAGGGTTAGGACAAAAGTAGCCAGGAATGCATCTCCAGGGCGGAGCCCCATAGCACTATGCTAGGACTATCTGCAGCCCACAGTTCTCCAAGCCTCTGACTGCCCCCAGTTATCATTCCAGATACCTGAAGCCAGATGTAGACAAGAAATCCAAACATAAGACTGCGGTGAAAAAGAAAACGCTAAACCCGGAGTTCAATGAGGTATGGCCGGGCTGGAGGCGACTGGGCTTCATGGGGGGCTGTGGGGCTCCCCTGGGCTGGGTGGGGTTCTGGAGAGGCCTGGTTTTCAGAGGGGCACTGTAGGAAATGGAAAGTGGTAAGAGAGGGTGAGGAGCAGCTGCTAGAAAAGCCATCAGCCATGGTGGGTAAGACTCCACCAGACTGTTAGGCAATGGGGAAGCTCATGGAGCTAAGGAGCCTTCTAGAAGGTCTTGGTGGAGGAAGGGATGAAAAGAGAATGTTGAGTGACTCCTGGGTTCCCTTCTAGATGACAGGATTGGGAAGGGAGGTGTGGAGAAAATGGGGAGACCTTTTAGGTGGGATGTGAGAATTCCAGGCTCCCCAGCAGGTGTGGCAGGATGGGTTGGAATAGTCAAGAGAAAATCCACAAACCTATTGAAATACCATGGGACATTTTTGCAGTTTGTTTTTGGAACTCATTTGCACAGTTCTCATGCTTGAACTTTGTAGACGGAAAGGTCATGGCACAATGCCTAAAGGGCGGACAGGTCAAGTATATGCCCAGGTCCTCAGAGCAGAGGGTGGCACCCAGACCTGGAGGTCTTCACTGAGTAGAGCACCTCAGGCCTGACTCATGACCAAGGAAGGACTCAAAGGCAGAGGGGACAGCAGGTGCTTGAGAAGCAAGGCCAGCCCCAAAGGACAAGGGGGAAGGATGGCAGAAATTCTTTACTGAACAATTAATTGCAGCCAGGGGTCTCACAGCACCTGGGAGCAGCTTCTGGGACAGAAGGGAAGGTGGATGGGGGCAGGGCCTGGTGAGTCCCCCCACCCCACCCCAATCAAGCAGAAGCAGGCAGACTGGCTAGAGGCATTGCACCCTGACCACTTCTGTCCTTCAGTGCACCACAGACCCCTCTCAGCCACGTGCCTTGGCTCTAACACCCTCTTCTGGCCAGCAGGAGTTCTGTTATGAGATCAAGCATGGAGACCTGGCCAAGAAGAGCCTGGAGGTCACTGTCTGGGATTATGACATTGGAAAATCCAATGATTTCATTGGTAAGGGATACAAGGGAGGTGCTGCTTAGCTGTGTGCCTGTCCTGGGCAGATACGGACCCAAGAGCCACTTGTCCCTAGTGAATGGGACCTCGGACACTCTCCAAAATGTAATCATGTGACAAGACAGGCCCAGACAGGGAAGGAGGCCCTGGAAGGGCTTATGGCAGTTGGTGGGGGACCTAGAGGGATGATGGTCAGCCCCCGGGGCTGGATTCAGAGCCCATGAGACCACAAGTTTCTGGTGGGTGTGACATTGGTGCACAGTCCCTAACATGCGTCATTGCACCCTAGCCCACACTGGTCCCTGGTAGAGGACGAATATGACATCAAGTACTGGGTCAGGTGGGCAGGGTGTGGCTGGAATCCAGAAACTGTCCACCCACAACTGGGCAGGAGGGAGGGCCCAGCTGGGTCACCAAATCCCCGGCTGCCCCTCTGGCCTCTTTCACAGGTGGAGTGGTTCTGGGCATCAATGCCAAGGGCGAGCGCCTGAAGCACTGGTTTGACTGCCTGAAGAACAAGGACAAGAGGATTGAACGTTGGCACACCCTCACCAATGAGCTCCCAGGGGCTGTGCTCAGCGACTGACTGTCCCATCTACTGCCACCCACCCATGCCACCCGGTCCACACAGGCCCTGCCATCAAGGGCTGTGGCCCTCACAATGGGCAAGATCCAGGTTGTCTGCTCGGACATAGCCACTGCAGCCCCTGCTTGGAGGCCACAGAGCACCCAGCCCCCAGTCAGAGGGACAGGAAGACACAACACTGGACCTGTTTCAACCCCCTGGGGCCTAGGAGAGCTGGCTCTGGGAGACTTCAGCCTCAGCTCCGCCCAGAGGAAGGGCTGCCTAGGGTGAGGACCTATTGGAAGTGGGGTGCTCTGGCTTCCTGGAGGCCACAGAGGAAGGACTATGAGCAGGTGGAGCCTAGGACTGGAGGTCAGACAATCTAGCCAACTGGAGCTTCCAATTTACTCACCTGGCATTGGTGGACAGAGTCTGAGCTCCCAGGGTGGGGACTCCCTGTCTAGGAGGGGATCTGGATGAACACACTGCCACAAAGGGGTGAGGCACACAGGAGCAGCCAGCTATCTACAGGGGCTGTGGGTAATGCTACTGCTGGAGGGTGGAGGGCCAGGAAAGCGTCTTGGGGGGAGTCGGGGCTCAGCACAGCCTTGAAAAGCCAGCTATGGCTCTAAAGCTAAGAGAAAGCCAAATACAGTGAGTAGAAGGCTGGGGTAAGGTGCCAGGGGACACAGACAGGGAGACGTGGGAGGCTAGGGTTGCTCTGGGGCAGCATTAGGTTTTTAAGCAGGATACCTCAAGGCTCCATGGCATTGTGGACCTATCAAGACAGTGGGTGGGTGACCTTCAGGAATAGCAGTGGAAGACAGAGCCTTGTTTGGGGGAAGGGGTGGGACTTCTGCCCTCACTTTCTGGGATAGGGTGTGACACATCTCAATCTTGAAGCCCCCAAATGTCTCCTGCCAACGGGGGCTTCAGGAACACAGGGGGAGCAGAGAACCAAGAGGTTCCACCATCATCCCAGAGCCCCATTTTGTTCAACCTATCACTGAGTAACAAGGTATGGGGATTCTGAGGGGAAAGATGCCCTGCCCTAAGCTCAGCATCCTCCTACAGCTAAAATAAGGACCCGGGTCATGATTCCGATCCCAAGTGCTCACCAGTCTTCCCCTGCTTGGCAGGCAAAATGGGTCACCTGTTGCTTATAGGGACTGGGTTTCTGGCTTGAAAAGCCTTTGCCAATGTTACTGAATTGGCAGGCACCTTCATATAGAATCTTTATCATCTTGTGTGGTGGGTGGCTTGGTCAACCCATTTTACAAATGAAATGGTCTCAGAGAAGTTGATAAACTTCTAAGGCCACCAAGCTGGGAGGAAGTGAATGAAGCAAGATGTAAACCTCAAGCCCTTTAACTGTTTGAGGGTGAGGACTCCTTTCCCTCCTGAGTGGCTGGAGCTTGGTGAGGTCTGCCACCTCGACCTATAGCTGGCTTTGAAATCATCTGTGCCAAAAGGCCACAGCCAAGCCCTGAAACTCAGCTGCCCTACCCCCAGCCCAGAGTCAAGACCGGTGTTTTCCCAAAAAGCTAGAAATGGGAGCCTCTGGGGGGCCTAAAGAAGGCATGTCAAAGCACCTGGTGATCTGAGTAATTTGGTATTTGCCCTTTGGGTTATCCTGTTCTGAGAGGAGCCTGACAGCCTCCTGAAGATACACAAGTGTTATTAGACATGAGGAGACTGAGGCCCAGCAAGAGAACAGAGCTCAGAAGGGTCAAGTACCTGGATTCCTGTTGCCCCAGTCAGTAAGTAGGATTGGCTCATGTGTTAGTGCCCAGCAGTAACCCACTAAAAAGTGATGAATTTTCCTGTAATCCTGGGGCATTTCTAAATCCCCAACACATTGCAGCTCTGTTAAAGGAAAAGCCCTAGGCAGACCTCTGTGAGTTCAAGGCCAGCCTGGTCTACAGAGCTAGTGCCAGGACAGGCTCCAAAGCTAGAGAAACCCTGCTCGAAAAGCCAAAAAAAAGAAAAAAAAGAAAAAGCCCTCTGAGAAGTCTTGTTTCTGGTCCATCAGCGTTGCAGAGAGGAAATTTGATACCAAAAACAAAGGTCATTCCAAAGTTATGTCAATAACCAAGGCGTCTCCTGAATCGGCATCCACCTCGTGTCCTGGTCTCCACCGTGCCCACTGCCATTAGCCACCCAGGCCCCCAAGTCCCGTCTTCCAGCCCTGAGGCGGTGACCTCCTGACCTCTAGTGGCGAGAACGAGGAACTGCACCTCCGCGGCCGGCCCACCAGCTGAGCCCTGGCCAAGCATGTCCGGCCCATTGTCCTCTAGCCAAGTGAACCTCCCGATGCATGGACTCTGGCTGTCGTCGACGCGGATTCGTGCACTGCTTACGGTTTTGCTACCATGTGACGGCTGCAGAGTACGTCCTCAAACTGCAACGCCACAACACAACTTTTGTACTTTCGTCCCGAAGGTGTCCTTTTTAAGTCTTATTTGTTAATATTTATAACGATATATAATTCAGAGTAAATGGGAACATTGTATTGCAATCTCACTAGCTCGAGAAACTCCTTGGAAGATCTGGAGGGCACAAGGGGAAAGGCAACTGAGGGCTTACTGTCCCATGTATTCTTTTTTTTGAAATGGTCTCACTTGTAAACCAGGCTAGTATCCAATTTATGGTGATCCTTCTGCCTCTTATTTACTCCTCACGAAGGTCCCATTTGAAACAGGCTCCCAAGTTACAGATAAGGAAATGGAATGTATGGGGCTGATCAAGCTGCACCTGCCACTAGGACCTGAGTGTGATTCCCGGAACCCAAATAAAAAAAGGCAAGATGAAGCCAGGCGGTGGTGGCAGGGTGGTGGTGTCCTACGCCTTTAATCCCAGCATTCCAGAGGCAGAGGCTGGTGGATCACGAAGTTCGAAGCCACAGTCATCTAGAGAGAGGACAGCCAGGACTACAGAGAAACCCTGTCTCAAAAAAAAAAAAAAAAAAAAAAAAAAAATATCCAAAAACAAAAGAAAAAATAAAAGGGTAAGATATTGTCTTTAATCCTAGCACTCAGGAGGCAGAGGCAGATGACTCTTGAATTTGAGGCCAGCCTGGTCTACACATCCAGTTCCAGAACAGCCAAAGTTACATAGTAAAGATCCTGTATTTAAAAAAAAAAAAAAAAAAAAAAAAAAAAATCAGGATGTGATGTGATAAATTAATAATCCCAGCAACTCCTGACCTGGGGCCTTCTTCCTGGAACAAACACCTGAGAAACAAGAGTCCCTCCATCAACAAGATGGAGGCTGAGAACAGAAAGTTGTCCTCTGACCTCCACCCACCTAAACCAGCTTGCATACTCACTCTCAACCTCCCTCCTTCCTCTCCCTCACTTAAACACACACAATAAATTCTTTAGATAATAAACAAGTTAAAATGTTTGTGCAAACCATACAGGCCTCAAGTCCGGGTCTCCGGAGACGCTGCAGCCCAGATGGGTGCTATTGTCCAGCAGGTCTACAATACATTAATGCTAGGTAGCTGGGAAAGTCACGTGACCTCCGCAGATGGCTCTGATGAGGAGCCCAGAGAGGGCACTGCGGGTGGTCCAGGTGGAGAGAACGGCTGTGGCCTCTTGGAACAAAGGCAGGCCTGGTAGGGCCGGGAACTTCAAGGAGCCCAGCATGACCAGTGGAATGGGCAAGGAATGAGGGCAGAGTACCACAGGCGGGGCTGTCATGACCCCATAAAACTGGCCAGGCGTAGTAGCTCATGTCTGTACTTGAATTTGGCTAAAGATTTGCCAATCTGATCTTATCTGAAAGAACTTTATTTCATGGACTCTTCCTCCTTCCACTTGAAGGTACCTTAGACCTCATCCCTTCTGTGGATTTTGCTTCTGCTGAGTCATGTGAGGACTAGGTACACATACACTTCCCTGTGAAATATTTTCATTGTGCCCCATAGGTTTTAGCATGCTGTTGTTTTCATTCAATTTTAGTAACCTTTACATTTTCAATGGCTCAACATTCAAATGTGTTGTTCACTCTCAAGTTTGTTAAGTATATTCTAGTTTTCATTGATTTCTAGCTTTACTCCACCATGGCTGGACAAACACAGGAGAAATAATCCATATGTGGTAGACAAGAAACCGTTCAGCTGGTAAAGAGCTGGCTTTTGCAAACTCAAGTACTTGTTGACCACACAAACACACACACACACACTCACAATCACAAAAGGAGGGGGACTGGAAATGGTTCCGAGGTTTAGAGCATTGGCTGACTCTCCTGACTTGCTATTACTTTAGAAATTTCTGTGGCTCTGTAAGACCCTCAGAATGAGGAGTCTTCCAGGTTCGGTCGATACCCCAAGAACTCAATGTCCAGTCCAGTTGCTGCAAAACCAAGAGGCTTTAATGAACAGGAAACATTTGCGCAAACGGGCTCCTCCAGCACGCAGGCTAGGGAGAAGCCCCCTCCCCTGGGCCCAGGTGTTTTTAAAGGCAACCCCACAAGCTTAGGGAGGGGGTGGGACCCTCTGTCCATTGAGTACGTGACCCTTGGAGGCCAGATGGTCTGCTATTAGGGTCAGCAGACCTTAGGGCCTCAGGTGTGCTAATTAATCTTGTCTGGGCAAACCAGAGTTATAGCCATCTCTTGACCCTATTTACCACCTGTTGACTCACAGGAAAGGAGGGGCAGTGTGAATTCTTCTTATCTCAGGGCCTTGTGAGAGGAAGCTAGCAAATTCCAAGGAACAGATATTGGTTTCCAGGTTAGTCCATCATTAACATTACTTTTTAGGTCTTTCAGCTCATGTAGTAAAGGCTGGCCTTCCATTCACTACGCAGCTGAAGCGGGCTTTTAACTTACCAAATCTGCTTGGAAATGCTCATGAAGGGCTGGAGATTTCAGTTTAGAGAACTTGTTCTTACAGAGGCTCTGACTTCTGGCAACCACATGGAAGCTCACAACTGCCTGTAACTCCAGATCTAAGGGATGGATAGGACTCCTTCAGGCATCTGTAAGGAACAGACACATACCTGCTACATGTACATACATAGAAGAGTGTAGCTTGAGTTACTTGATCTGCTGCTTCAGTGCC